TATATATATATATATACTGTTTATATACCAGTATATATATATATATATATACTGAGCTCTTCCAGTTGTGAATTATTTTTATAAATATCAATAGGTATAATAAATAAATATGGAAAGGCTGAAGCAAATTTTACTACATAAAAATACAATATCAAAGGATTGACAGATTTCATTGAATATCATATAATATGATAATTCAAAGGATCAATTAAGTGTTTAAATATCACACAATAGAAAATGTAAAGAACATTTTATTAAACCTAAAAATCTCATTGCGAAAACAAAAGTGATCCAAGTACATAATAATCACAATAGTCAATAAATATCAATCTCAAAAATGTCAAAAAACATCAGAAATAATAAATATGGTCAATGTATAGATGTATGTATACGTTAGAGGTTAAATCTGGTTAAAGGCGCCTTACTCACAAGAACACGAGAAGAAAGCTTACATGAGAAGGCTATCTGAGGCAATATCAGGCTGATAAGATCCGTCTCATCACCCAGATGAGGGGAACAATATTATGAAAATAATCATTCATTTCACCTGACACACAATATCACACTGATATTCAATTAAATCCTTGATTGAATTTCCTTGAAAATCACACTGAGAGACAAGTCCTCATTGAGACCTTTTCATTTAAATGTAATGTCCAGTATGCTTCCCTTAAGGAGCAGATGTTGATCATAAATGTTACCAAATATCATAAATGTTACCAAATAGGCTATCATGAATTCCGTGGTTTCTTTTTGTTTTATTTCATGAAATTGCCTAAGAATCTGTTCACTCTTTCAAGTGCTAATTAATAGCCAAAAGATGTTGGGTTATCAGTATTACCACGCTGTTTCAAAGCTTTTTGAACCAGATTATTATGCAATATAATAAATGAGTATTGTTATTGGGTTATCTCACTGGTGAGAATCTGTGCTTTTTGTTCATGGTGTAGTTTTCCGATGTAAAATGAATTTATCAGAATTGAATAGGTTGAACTGTATACTAATGAAACAACTTAACTTTTGAGTTTGTTCACTGTGCTTGTATGCTTTTAGACCTTTTGAAAATGTTCAGTGACTCGCTCAAATGTCAGAGGGCTGCACATTCATTTGAAGTCAGCCATAAACATAATGCTATTAACCTCAAGTGATTTCTCTTTCTAGTGGCTTTTGACATTCGTGCCACTTTGCAATTTGCTAGTTGCAACTACATGGCACAGAGTATGAAAAATGCATATATTTAAACACGGGATGGCAATCTTAGTGAACTGCTCCAACAGCCAAAGGTCCTGTAGTGTCAAAAACACTAAATTTAATTCCTCTGTCTTTGCAGGTATGGAAAAATAGTGTCAACCAAGGCCATCCTGGATAAGAACACCAACCAGTGCAAAGGTAAGTCATCAGTTTGTTTGTCTTGTACACCTACTTTGTTTTAGTGCACCAGCTATCACTCTTTAGACTGTGTCTTGTCACAGGAACAGCAATCCAAGCCCTCGCATAAATTTAGACATCAGCCGAGGAAGCCTTGCGTCGTAAATCAGTGAGTTAGCGAGGAGCTGGCTTAACACTGCGGGAAAGCTTCGGGTAAACAACCTGCTCCTGGATGGCGCTGCCCTGCTTCAGAGGATAAGCAGGCAGACAGAAACTGTCTCAGCCCCCCCCTTCTCTTTGATTTCCTGTTTTGATATGGAAGACAATCTTTTGGAAAGTGTGTTTCTGTGAAAGGTCCATTAGTGTCTGCACAGTAAATGGTGCGCACACGCAGTGATGATATTAGGGGCTCGTTTTGAAATTGTTTCTACAGCACACACACTGCACGCATTTACATGCTTGAACATACACGTGTACTGGACCAATTAGAGGTCTAACAAGCTAGCTGGGATTAGATAAACTTTAATTATTATCATTGTCACACTCATCTTCTTGGGGTCCTGGCTCTATTTTCACTTCAGCCACCTGCCTCGCATGGCTGTAAGTACATTTCACACGCTCTCCTTCTTTTGTATTGCAATCAGTTGGTAATGATCAAGACCAGCTTAGTCTTCAGTGAAGAAAGAGTGAATGCGCGCAAGAGAGGGAGAGAATGGAGCGATAGAGAGATGAGGAGAAAAAAAAAGATTAGTGTGCTACTTGCCCCGAGGTGTCTGGCAGCACTGTTTAAGAGCTATTGAAGTTCCATCAATACTTTTAATTGCTTTTTGTGGTTTCCCGGGCTCTGAAGTGTGGCCTTTCAAGGTGAAGCCGCCTTCTTAACCCTGCTCCACACCTGAGTTTATCCTGCCAGGCATGCTCTGGGTCAAAATGTTGAGGAAAATAACCTCTGTCTTTTAGAGGATAGGAAAAAAGGGCTGATTATCTTGACAGGTCCTTTTTTTGTTAGTCCTACGGGCTATTAAAGACAACTGGATTCATGTTAGTAGGAAGGGTGTATCCACAGGTCACAGGACACAGCACAGGGTGGATTAAAGACGGGAAAGACAGAGCTGAGCGAGGTTAGGTAGAATGAGATTGGTAAAAAAGAAGAGGTAAACCTCTTTCAATTTCAGCGATCAAAGAAATAGACTTTGCTCGATTACAGGTTATCCCTCTCTGTGTCCAGCTGACCTGAGTTATGCACAGCACACAAAAAAACAGCTCAGCTTAGCACTGTGTTATGTGAGAGACAATGTTTCCCATAAGTCACCCTCCTGGAATGCAGCGCTGCTGAAATGCCAAGAAGCAAAAATAAGCAGACGTATTTTATGATTGCAAAGGATGGTCCTCCTCTGCACCCAGTGAGAAAGAGGGACAGAGAGGAGAAAAAAGAGTGTGAGGAGAGGGGCTGAGTAACCTTGAGGAGAAAAATATAGTTCTTAAGTGTTTGAAAGACAAGTTGAGGAGAAGAGAAACTGCACAAAAACATAATTTCTGCTGCTACAACTCCACATCTCTCCCATACATATATCTCCTGAAAGGTGAGCAGGTATCAAAGCATAAACCAATCCAAGCGGGTGTATTGATGCCTGATGGGCTGCCGTGCATCTGCGCCCCTGGTAACAAAGCAAAATCGGCACATCGCCCTGATCTAGTCACGCATTGTTTCCACTCATCTGACCCCCTGACCCTGACACTTTAAATGTTTAAATGTCAGAGCGGCAGCTTATCACCACGTGCCACCATCACACAGCGAGCATCCCTCTCCTCCTTCTCCTCTCCTGCTCCACCTCCTCTCCTCCCCCTTGTGTTATTTGTGTTTAGTTCAGCTCAGTGAGTGCACCGCCAGAACAACGTGAGAAAAATGGGATAGAGAAGAGGTCAGGACCAGTCATCTCTGTGAGAGAGCTATAGATCGACAATCATCTTGCGGAAAACAAAGAGAGTAACATATCTCAAACTCACTGACTAACTTCTCTACTCACTCTTTCATTTTCATTTTATAATTCAGAAACTTTTGGCTTAGTTTGACTTTATGTATTGTAAAAATCCTTTCTGAAACATATTCACACATTTTAATAATATTTTGAAATTATATTCTGTTGTTACAGTATATCCCTTATTATGATCATCATATACATTACTGGCAGGATATGATTTATTCTGCTAATAGGGTAGATTAAAGTTCACAAAAATATAATACAAGTAGAGGCAAGACAGATTGAGTATATTCAACACAAGGCCATATCCATACTGAGATGATCAGTGTATGAAAAAACACAGCTCTCTCATTAATTTCAATATGTGCGTTCCATCGACATAGCTGGGCTGCAGATGCAAATGGCTCTGGCAAAAAACTGTGGGTTAGCCCAACGCAAAAGTTGAAACTAGCTCAAACTTTTTCCACAACACAATATGACGTCGTCTGGCAGGGTGCGTCGTTGGCCAATCAAATATGTACAAGATACATTCCACATTCCACACATTCCTTGTAGATTGTTTTGTAATATGAATGGTGTTATTACCCCAAAAAGAAATCCTGTCTCCTATTATCATTAATTGCTATGCAGTGTTTGGGCATCTGATAAGTTTTCAATTTTGATTATAAATAGGAAAAATGTCAATCCATGATTGTTGCATCATAATCGAATGAAATACATTTTTTTTTTAAATAAATAAATAAATTCACTTAGTTACAAAAAATTACTTAATAGAACACAGGCTTGTATAATTTTGCTTTCTTTTTTAAAGTTGATTGTTGAAGCAGCTGACTATTACAACTGCACTAAAATCTTATTGAAAAGGTTTTTAGAAATCTACCTCCCATATACAGCAAATGTTGTTTTATGACTATACTTCAGCACGGAGCAGGTTCTACAGGGTCTCCTCAATATTTCTTGGAAAAAGCTTTACAAAAGTGGTTATATAATTTACATAAACTACAGCGTTATTTTGCAGGTTTACAAGTTAGATGCCACCACACCTTGTTCCTTGAGTCTACAGCCTGGATTGGTGTATTGCTACTGTAGGCATGCATATGTGTATGTTAGTCTACTACTATTCTATATATAGAATTTCACTATTCTTTAATTCGTTAATCTTAAATGCTGATGAATGCCTCTGTGTAGCAGAAGTGTTTTATAAGTGTTGCGTCGATAAAACACCTATAAAAAGAATGAGAGAGATGATAGGAAGATGATTGCTGATGATATGTGAGATGGAATAGTGAGCGTGGGAGTGGAGGCTGGAAAAGCAGAAAAACAGTGATGACGCTCTCTGTACTTAAAGGTCAGGTGTTAGGGAAATACGTACTTTAGTGTGCATATAAACATAAACCAACACAGGTACAACGCCCACACACAAACCTTAGCACACATTGTTTCTCTGCCACCATACAGTACATCTATCTATACATTTTACCCTCAGTGAACGAGTGTGCGCAAGTGCTGTAAAGCCCTGTTTAAAGTACCACATCACAAAAACTACACACTAAGACCATGTAATACACCTCTCCCACGCACTCGAACACAAAGGGCACACTCACGCACACCCAAAGACTGATTGTACCCCCACACGCACTCCCCATCCATCTGCCCAAGGTGCGTTAGACTCTTGCAGCAGCAGTGGCCATGCAACAGATCAATCAATCCTCTTTCTAACATCACAGCATGTGTGCCTGCCTGCCTGTCTGCCTGTTCTGGCTGCTCTCCTCCACCACCGCACCACGCAGACCTTTCAATGAGCCTCTCTATCTTTCCAGCGCTGACTCACTCCCTCGCTCCCTACCTTACTCTATGACACACACAGGCTTCCAGGCAGGCACACACACACAAACACTGTTGCAAGGGCAGAATAGCATATAAACTGTGCATGCCGATAAATACACACACACACACACACACACACACACACACACACCACACACGTTTTGGATGTAGCCCAGTTCAGAGAGAAATGGGAACAGGAAGTTGTGAAAGGGCTTTAGGGTTGTCAAGCGCTGTGGGTAAGAGGAGGCATTCAGCTCTTCATCTCTCTCGCTCTCATGCTCCTCCGCACTCTCACACTGCTTCTCCTTACCTCTTTGTCTCTGTTTTTTCTCCCTCGCTCTCATACTCTATCTATATATCTGTCTCTGCACTTTCACATTTACTGTAGAAATACAGCAGAGATTGGGGGGTTTGCATCACAGATGGAGTGGGGGATTGAGGATGGCAGAGGGGGAGAAAAAAGGAATCGACTGCGAGAACCCGAAACCGCTCATTTGCCATCCATGCCCACAAGGGCCTCTTAAAAGGCAGTGGCGGCATTTGAAATAAAGCAGGGCTGACCGAATGGAGACATTTTATTTTTCCTGCCAGAGCCCGGAGGCAGAGGAAATGACCTCAGCCCTTTAAAGGACCTCCGTTTCCTCCTCAACCGCGGAGAGATAAGGCTGCGCCGAGATTCACCGGCCTGACTGGCGCTCTGCCGCGACGGACCACCGCACTGAATTGTGGGAGATAGATGAGATCAGAAGATAGTCTCTTGTGGCTGTGTGTTCGGCAGTTTGTTGTTGTTCATTTATTTGCCCTGTAACTTGCCATCCATTTTGTATGAGGATGCTAAAAACTCACAAGGGCATTACATAAACTTGCATCTTGAAAGAATTACTGTCGCCTTTACTCTGTTTTGTGGGTGATTTGATGTAAAACACGCAAATTTCTTTTTGTCCCAACAAATTTAAATCATGTTTGAAGTATCCAAAATATTTGATTGTAAAGATAAAAAATCTTTAAATTGTTTTTTATAATAATAGTACAGTGTCCTTGAATACTGTACCTAAAATGTGGATGTGCAATATGGACACCCTGAACCTCTTGCCTATTGAATACTGAATCAATTTTGCCTAGTTGGGCTGCATATGCAGCCTCTGTATGGTGCAATTTAAAAGCCTGTCAGAAGCTTGACCATTACAATCTGAAGCATCCCTTGCCCTTACC